AACTCACTCACTATGTAGCCCAGGCTGGTCTCGAACTCACAGTGATCCTCCTGCCTCAGTCTCCTGAGTGCTGGACACAGGCGTGTGCTACCACACCCAGCTCAAAGTGTTGATCTTAAGGCTTCTTTCAGCTTGGACAGTCTAATAAATGATGGCTTTAGTAATTTCTCATCTGAGTATTAGTTTGTTCTATCATTTTGAGACAGGCCCTTGCTATGTAGTTCAACTGTCCCTGATCTCAGTATGTAGCCCAGGCTGGCCTGGATTTGGAGGCGATTCTCCTACTTCAGCCTCCCAAGTGCTGGGATTATAGGCATGTGCCACCATACCCATGAGTTCTTTTGTTGTTGTTTTTTTTTTTTTTTTTTTTTTTTTTCCTTTTTTTTGGTACCGGGGATTGAACTCGGGTCCTTGCGCTTCCAAGGCAGGCCACTGAACCGTGGAGCCCCGGCCCCCATGAGTTCTTTTTTTTTAAAGTGGTTCTTTTTCTTTTTCATTTTTTGTGGTACTAAGGATTGACTCTTAGACCTTTGCACTGAACTACATCTCCAGCCCTTTTTAAAATTAAAAAAAAAAAAAAAGTTTTTTGTGAGACATGATCTTGCTAAGACTGTAAGTTACCCACATTTAGGTTGGATTGTAATCCTTCCACCCCAGCCTCCCACAGTGGTGGGATGACAGGCCTGTACCACCATGCCAGGTCTGACTACTTCTTTCTAGCATTATTTGGACATAGACATCTTTTGCTCTGATGAAAGGTATTCGAGCTTGAGAAAACTGGATAGATACTTTATACATCTGCATTTAAGAATTGCTTAGATTGTTCCTTGGGCTCTGTGATTCTATTACTGGCAGGAAGAGAGACAGAATGTTCACTTTAGAAGAACAATGACAATAAAGGCAAATGATACTGTATATCCTAAATTGTCTAAAAAGTTTATATTTGAGGAGTGAAATCTAATTTGTAGATTTAGAAGATGGTGCCTGCTCCTTAAAAAACTCTAGTAATTTTCAGAAGCAAGGAGCTGAAGTGTCCTATGTGCCCAGCCGTATGACAAGGTCTTTCACATATATAAAATTTTTCATTCGATTAAAGTTAGAAAAGCTATTGCTAATAGAATAGGGATTAGAAGTAGAAAGTAAATGTTCATTTCAGTAAATGTTCCCACAGTCTTCTAAAGTAGATATTACTTCCATTTTTACAGATGAGGAAAATGGATTTGAGAGATGAAGTAACTTGTTCTAGATCACAAATAGGTGAAATTTGAGTCCTATATCAAGTTGTACAGACTTCTCTTTGGCAGGTCATAGACAGGTCCTACTTATTAGGATACTGCTCAAATTTTAACTCACAATTAAATTTGGAGATGTGATAGGACTCTGGAATCTAGATTACACAATCCTAAGAAGATGGGCAATAGGAGGAAAACATCTACTGAATACCCACTGTGTGTCATGTAATTTCTTTTATTATATCAATTCCTACACCTTGTAGATTTGTCAGGATTAGTAACAGTTAAGAAGAGTTGGGCTCACAGAGGTCAAATAACTTGGTCAAGGTCACCAACTAGTATTAAGTGGGATGGGACCAGTATTTCCACATTGTTTTGGTGGTTGTATCTATTCTTCTGGGCTTTTATCTCACACCTTTAATTTCATCTTCAGTGATGGAGGATAGTAGTAAAACATAATAAGCGATTTCAAGTTCTGCGACTCACTAGCTGTGTGGTTTTGGCAAATCACTTGGCCTTTCTGAGCCTGTTTTCTCAACTGTCAGGTGAAAATAACAATATTCTATATCTTTGCTAGGCAACTATTCTAAAGTTCAAACAAGATCGGAAAAAATATTTTACAAAGTGTTATGTTATATCATATTACCATATTCACCACCACCATTATCTTTCTTAGGGGAGAATGAGTACACTGTTTTTAGTTGCTTTTGTTCTATTATAAGATCTTTAGAGTGATGGGGAAAAACTTTAAAATGCTTTTGGAAAAAATCTTTGAGGTACCCAGAAGAGTTCAGAAGCATGTGTTAAGGGGTGTTTCCTTCTGTATATTTTAGAAGGGAGCCAGATAAGATTACCTCTTGAAGGGAAGTGAATGGGCAAGGGTAGAGAGTGATAATGTAGGGTCCTTACCAGATCTTTTGATTAGCAGCTCTTTGGTCGGAACCTTTACTACTCCAAGCAGATACTCTTTGCATGACTGGATACTGGATATATCACTGACTGTTAAATTAAGAAAAATAAAAAAGGAAGAAGAAAAAAAATTTGGTGGTCTACTGACCAAGTCTTGTGTTTACAGATTTATATAACCTTCCAGTTTTCACTTTATCTTAGCATTAATAGATGCATTAAAGATTAATTGCTCATATTCTACACAAAGTCTGAATGCCCTTGGAAAAAATTTTGTTTTGTTTTTTGAGACAGGGTCTCACTGTGTAGTTCAAATTGGTTTTGAATTCACCATGTAGCCTAGGCTGGCCTCAAACTTGCAGTGATCCTTCTGCCTCAGCCTCCCCAGTGCTGGGATTATAAGCATGCACCACCACGAGTATGCCCTTGAAAATTTTTGAACATTTTATTTTTCCAATTTTAGAATATGTGCTGCCGAAGTGAGCACTGAACATTTTATTTTGAAAAAATTCTAGGCATACAGAAAAGCTGCAAAGTATTATAATGAACTGCTATATATCCTTCATTAGATTCACCCATAACTGCTCTCTCTCAATGCTATCTCGAAATTCTCTTATACACACTTAATACATATATTCTTATTTTTTGCTATATTCTTCAAAAGTAATTTGAAAAGATTATAATTTCTCACCTTTAAACACTTCAACATATATCTCCTAGGAAGGGCTACACCATTTAAAACAGTCACTTTTTAAAAATTCTGATTGTGATGCATCATTTGGTGCTCACCTGATTTGGTATTTTCATGATAGATAGCAAAAGTAATTTCTGCAAACTCCAATAGCTCTGCCAGGAAACAGGCCTCTCCACTACAGTGCTGAGTTACCAAGTTACACGGGAACTCAATGTGATGGGAGAACTCAGGGCAGAAGGAACAGGCCACAGGACGGGTTTGGCGCTGTTCTCCCTTGGGCAGGAACGAGAGATGAGCAGTGACAGAGGCATTGACCCCAACAGTGGCACTAAAGCGTAGAGTGGGTTCCTGCTCAGCCAAAGCCCTGTGGGGAGAGGAGTAGAAATGAGAAGTTATACATCGTGGTATTATCAGAAATCAGCCTGATTCCCTAGAAACTATCTCTGCTACTTCCACGAGACCACCAATATTAACCAACAGTAATTTTCTATCTAAACTTTTGACAGTATGATAACATCCTTTATTAGTAATCTACAGTACATGCTGGGGGGTTAGTTAATATTCATCCTCCTATCAGAATGACCTACTAGGGAATTGTACTGTCAGTGTCCTTCAGTCAAAGACCACAGGAACCAACTGTACTTGAAAAACTGCATTTACTGCTCATTGCAATGAGGAAAAATATATACCACAGGGAACTATAGAACATCTCAGGAAAAAGGTATCGGAAAAGACTTGTAGCACTGAACTCATATTAACCAATTTGGGGGAAAGCTCAAAGGAGCAGGGCTTTGTTCTGCACAATATTCTTTTTTTTTTTTTTGGGGGGTTTTTTTGAGACAGAGTCTCACTATGTAGTTGAGACTGACCTGGAATTCACTATGTAGCCCAGGCTGGTCTCGAACTCACAGCAATCCTCCTGCCTCAGCCTCCTGAGTGCTGGGATTACAGGCGTGCACCACCACGCCCGGCTATGTACAATATTTTTTATGGATCTTAGCTAGAAGGAGGAGAGGCTAAAGATAAAACTGTAACTCTGCTGAGACTGTTAATCCTATGTCAATTTCACTGGATTAAGAAATGTCTAGCTGATAGGCCAGGGATTTCACTCAGTGGTTCCGCCGCCTGCCTTGCAAACCCAAGGACCCAAATTCAATCCTTGGTACCAAAAAAGAAATGAAATGTGTAGCTGATTAATAGAGTACACTCCTGGGTATGTCTGGGTATGTTGTGGAGGCATGACCCTCACCAGTTGCTCTCTGGCACTCTTCCCCTGGTCTGCTTCCTGGCTGCCATGACCAAGTAGCTTTGCTCTGCCATGGTGCCTCTGCCTTGGATCCTGCTGATCACAGACCAAATCCATGAGCTAAACAAAACCTTTCCTACTTTAAATTGTGGGTGTTGGATATTTCATCCCAGTGATGGGAAAGTGACTAATATATCTCCCTACATGTAGGAAGCGATAATGGTAGGCAGCAAATGTGACAAAATCTTAAAGGAGAACAGGAGTTTAAGTTTACAGTGAGGGAGAATATTAGAGCCAAGAGAAGGATGAACAAGGACATGAAAGAGATGAGGAATCCAGCACACTGCTCTGCAGTAAGTGTTCTAGCAGAGAAAACAGTACAAGGGCCCTGAGGGGAAAATGTGCCTGGAATTCAGAAGCAATAAGAAGGCCAGTGGCTGGAGCTGAGTAAACAGAGGAGAATCCAGCAGGATAAAATGAGGTCACAAAGGGAACAGTGGGGTCAAACCATGTGGGATCTTATAGCAATTTAAGGACTCTGGTTTTTACTTTGAATGAGATGGAAAGTCACTGGTGGATTTTAAACAGATACATGACAAGGTCCGACTTGTTTTCATATGATCATTGGCTAATATTATTATTATTATTTGGTACTGGGGATTGAATCAGGACCTTGTGCTTGGGAGACAGGTGCTATGCCACTGAGCTAAATCCCCTGCCCAATGGCCATTATTATGTTGAGAACAGACTGAACAGGAATGAGATTCTGGAAAAACAAGAAGTGGTGTTCAGGGGTTGAAGTATGTGAATCTGAATTTATAGAGGAGTTGCTGTGATTGGTGTGGTATGGGGGTACAGTATCTGACTGTAGGGGTAAATGGTTAAGAAAGGTGAGTATAAAATTCTTGGAAAAGGTCAAGAAACCAAATTTCAATAACACTAGGGCAAAGTCTGTGAATGATTTACTCACTGAAATTTTGAAAAATTTTCTTTCTTTTTATTTACTTATTTTTTTTGGGTACCGGGGATTGAACTCGGGTCCTTGCGCTTGCAAGGCAGGCCACCAAACCACTGAGCTAAATCCCCGGCCCCGAAAAGTTTTCTTAAAAGTGAGCATTGTGGTTAATGAACCAGGAATTGCACACAAAAAGTTCAGGCAAATCTAATCATCATCTTGTAGGGATTACAGTAGAAAAAGGTTTAAGAATTGGCTTTTCTAAGGCGGACTTACTTGGCTGCAGCTTGCAGTCCACAGGCTCTGATAATGTGGATGGAGATGGAGACAGTTCGGGCGGCAAGAACTCCCTCTGCTGTTCTTAGACTACGCCGGTACCTTATGCCCACATCCAGTAAACCTGAAGAATGAGGATAAATAGTGAAAGATTAAAAGATTGTTTAGAAGAATCTGTTCTACAAAACCAGAAAGTCTTGGTCAGGAATGCAGAAAGAAGAGAAATACTACAATTCAAATGAATGATCAGGGGCCTTAACAGAGAAGCTGATCATGGTCAGAGCCACATTCAGTATTGCACTTTAGGTTTAATAACCACATGCCATCTTTTAATAAAAAAAAAATTTACCATCTTACTGTCTTGTTTGAAGGAAAGCTTTAAGGAATAACATACAAGCTAATCAGTGAGGGTGAGGAGGATATGGCAGGATAAGACTTTTGTTTTGGCAGAGGCTCTTCAGCAAGCATGTATAGCTACTTGATTTAGGAAACCAGTATGAGATAAACTCAGAGGGTAGATCATACTGATGGAACTAATAATAGGCTGTGACAGCTTTCAATATTCCAAATAGTTAATCTCTTGAAATTTGAATCCTACCTTTCTCCTCCCTTACAGTGAATTACCAGTTCAAACTCACTATATTCCATCAATCAACATCTGTTCATGTTGTCTTAGAATAATAGTACTATGAGTGTACCTTTAAAATACTTAAAATTAATGTTAGGAAGACTTATTAAATGCTTACATTTTCAGCAAATTTTCTTTTTTAGTACCAGGGATCGAACTTAGGACCTTGTGCTTGAGAGGCAGGCAGTGGAACCACTGAGCTAAATCCCTGGCCCATTAAATGCTTAAATTTAAGGGATATGAGAAAGCATTATTTATACAAAGTCCATGGAACTATGACTTTTCCAGAATTGTACGCAAAATTTGAAATTTACATTCTTCACTCATTTTTCTGAAAAGTTGTCTTATAATGTTTTAGATCCTTATGGGTAAGTACCCATAAAAGTGAAGAATCACTAATTTTGAAAGAAAAGGGAGATATGTACATATACCGATCTTGAAAGGAAAAGACACATTAGTCTTCAATTACCTGATGACTGGCTCTTCAATTCTTTCCTGTTCTCAAACCTGGGGATTAAAGGAAGATTAAAGGTCTGTATTCCCACATCCTCACGGTGCTGCATGGTTACCATGGCACAGATCCTCGATAATGGCAAGGTTCCTTTAGCAACCATCTGGTCTCTCACATTAGGATAATAGTATCTATGAACCACAAAAGCACAAATTGTCAGTTGGAAGAATTAGTGGGTGAATGATTCAGTCTGTCCCAGGGATTAACTTTCAATATCTTCTTATCCTTGGAGCCTGATTGTTCCCTACTGGTAATATGTAGCTCTGATTACTTCCTGTTATATTACATGAAGAAGCAACTCCATAAATTAGACCCTGAGTTCAGGACAAAGCCCAGTTTCCCAACAACTCTCTGTTTGAAGTATTTATCTATGTCTTAGACTCTAGGAGTAGACACACACTAAAGCTTCCAAACTGCAGCAGCAGAAATGGATTTAGATGGAGCAGTCCAAAACTTTCATGGCTCAGGCTTTTCTTTTAAGGCTTAGGCTCTTCTCATTTGGAGGAGTAATGAATATTTTTCATTTCCTACCCTATTTCCTTCTCATGGCAAAACAATTTATTCTTGGATTACAAAGTTGTAAATCAAGCTGGGAATGGTGACACCTACCTCTAATCTCAGCACCCTGGGAAGCTGAAGCAGGAGGATTCAAAGTTTGAGCCCAGCCTGAGAAAATGAGCAAGACCATGTCTCAAAAATAAGGATGGGGATGTAGTTTATTGCAAAGGCCGTGAGTTCAGTCCCCAGTACTGAAAAGAAAAATGTTATAAACCAAAACTAGGTGGTTTTAAAAATCTCTTTTCACTTTCTATCTGACTGAATTTAAGAAAAGGTCTGATGTGATAACTCTTTCCTAGTTTTGTTCTTTTTTTTTTCTTGGTACCGGGGATTGAACTCAGGTACTTGTGCTTACAAGGCAGGCCACGGAACCGCTGAGCTAAATCCCCAGCCCTAGTTTTGTTCTTAATGTGTTTCTTTTCTTTCTTTTTCTTTTTTCATTCCAGTAGTGGGAATTAACCCTTGGGCCTTGGGCACACTAAGCATATTCTGTACCATTAAGCTATATTGCCCCATCCCCCTTTTTGAGAAAGGGTCTAAATTGTCCAGTCTGCTCTTGAAGTTGTGATCCTCCTGCCTTACCTCTCAAGCTGCTGGGATTACAGATGGGCACTGACACACCCAGCTTCCCTTCTTTTATATTCACATTCTCAATCATTTTAAATTGGTTTCTTGGAGGTGTAGTACAAAGGCGAAGACTGAACATCTGTATACATGCCAGTATATTTTCTGGAAATCATCTACCAATGTTTGGAACATTCAGTGGAATTGTATTTTGTGAAGGCTACTCTTCTGGTGGTGTAAAGAACTGATTCTAAGAAATGAGTTTAGAAGTTGGGAGATCCAGTTAGGAGGCTATCATGGTAATCAGGCAACATATGGTATGGGCCTGGGTTTAAATAAGGTACTAAGAAAAGGCCAAAAATAGTTGATATCTAAAAGATGGTAGGAGGTAAAACTAAGAGGATTTCACTTCCAATGTAAGAGAGGTTAGAAGGATGAGATACAATGCTCCCAAGATCCTAACAAATTTCAGTAAAAAACAGAAAGGAGTTACTGTCAAATAAAAATAATATAAAACAAGGGAGAAAGGGCTGTTGTCTCCTTCTGATAATTCTACCTTGGCTGGCAAAGGATAGGATGCTCTTCGATTGTGCATGTTCTCCATAGGCACAAGACTGGGTTATCCATACTGTACCTGCACCAGATTTCAAACTGGACTCCGCCTCCAGGCACAAGCCCCTGTGCAGAGAAGGCACTTAGAAGGAGCCTTTGTACTGGAACTTCAGTTGGCAACAGGAGAGTATGATGGTGCTCACTGTTAAAGATGGGATCTGGAATGCAGAGTGTGGTTGCAGTTCTAAAGGGCTTCAAAGTAATTCCTTTGGAAAATAAAAACAGTTCAGAATATTCAACATGACATTTAGTCTTTTGTGTGTAGTAGGACAGAACTACTTATATACACAGTATTTCAATTTTATATTTTGGTTCTGGGGATCAAACTTGGGTACTTGCGCTTGCAAGGCAGGTGGCAGCACCACTGAGCTAAATCCCCTGCCCCACAGTATTTCAATTTTATCCTCACAATTATTGTTACTTCACAGGTATTCCTACTATTACTTCACATATGAGCCAAAGGATACCTTAAGAATACACAGTTACCTGAAAGATCTTAGAGCTATTAAGTCCCAGACCTAGAACTGGGACCCATATTTTCTGACTATGTTACTATTTTTATTGATTGATTGAGACAGGTTCTCACTATGTAGTTCAGGCTGGCCTTGAATTCACTGTGTTATCCAGGCAGGGCTCAAACTCATGGCACTCTTTCTGCCTCAGCCTCCTGAATGCTGGGATTACAGATGTGCACCACCGTTCCTGGCTAGTATTCTTACCAAAGTCCACTTCTCTAATGCAGTGGGTGCAAACCTTTAGCACAGATGCTATTTGTTTTTAAGACAAAAGATGTTACTATACGAGTTTTCTCTAAACTAAAACCTCAATATTCAGATTTAATTGCAGTGTTGGCACTTGGTGATAAATCAGTGGGTTCTGAGTTGCAGTTTGGGCACGTGTCTCTAAGAGGCTCACCATCACTTCCCTAGTGGCTATGATCTCTTTAGTTTTTATGATAATGTAGAAGAGATCCCTTTGTTCATGGACAACATATTGGGGTTCCAATTTCTCCACATCCTGCCAATACTTGTTAGTGGCCTTCTCGCTCCTCTTTAAATTATAGCTATGTTGGTGGGAACAAAGTGTAGCTCATGGTGGTTTTGAGGTACTTTCCCTAAGTGACTAATGATGTTCAGAATCTGCTATGGCTTGTAGTTTGTCCCCAAATGTTTCATGTACTGGATGCTCAGTCCCAGTGTAGTGATGTTGAGAGGTGGCAGAACCTCTAAGAGCTGGAAACAGTGGGAGGTGGTTAGATCACTAGTAGTGCCACCCTGTAAGAAATTAATGCTGGTTTCACAGAGTAAGTTAGTTTTTGTGAGAGCAAACTCTTATAAAGTGAGACCGCCCATGTGCTCAACTCCTTTGGCATATGGCCATCTCTGCTCTGCTTCTCAAGTTGTGACTCAGCCAAAGGGACCTGTCAGAGGCTGAAGTGATGAAGCCATCCAAATTTGGCCTTTCAGCCTCTAAAACTATGAGTTAAAAAAATCTCTTTATAAATTACCCACCTTTAGGTCTTTTAATACAGCAACAGAAAATGGGCTATTACAGTATCTTTGTAAGTGCTTACTAGCTACTTGTGTATCTGTGGAGCAATGTTTAGTTGCTTAGTTTTCTACTGAGCTGTTTTTTAAATTATTGATTTGTAAATTTTTAATATACTACTCTGTATATACATTTCTTTTTTTTTTTTTTTTTTTTTTT